CATGTATGAATGTATGTACGTATACTAACTGACTTTAGAGTATCTTCTTCGCTTTTGCATTTACCATTGTTGTTTTTGGAGTAGGTTTTGTTTGTTTCATGTTTGTGGAATTGCTATCCAACCATTCTATTTATGGTGTCCATAGATTATTGTTGGTTCATCAGCATTTTTTCGGTTCTCTGCATGCATACTGTTCGTAAATTTTTGATACTGTTAAATTTCATGTTTCCATTAAACTTTCTCGCTGAATAAAGACAATAACGCTTGGCAAATGTATTGGGCGTAAATTTCATAGAGAGCAATAACCTGTGGTGACGCGTATGTAGAATATTTCAAAAATGATCGCTGGTTGTAAATGAAGTTGGGGAAAGATCAGTGTGTAGGCATACTGGCTTTTCGTTTTGTTTCCTAGTTATTAAACGTTTCGTTCATGGCCGTACTCGTACATAGCGTATGAGTAACATTTTCCATGTTCGCAAGCATTTCGCAAAGCAAACTTAAATGAAACGCAGCCGAAGTTCTTTGCTATCCGTAGTCGACCCATTAACATATGCATGTCCAAGGCATATCGCCTTGAAAGGAATAAAGTTCTCAAATGTATGGACAAAACTATAGATCTGTCAGACTTGCGCACTGTAATGGGATGGTTTCAAACGTATGTTGTTGTTGTGGCGGCTACTCAGCCCTGTCTAGATCGGCTTGTCCCTCAATCGTTGGTGTCAAGCTCAACCAATGGGAGTCCCAGGAAGTGCGCAACACCAACTGGGTTTGTCCATAGAGACAGGGGTGTTAGTTAAGTTAGGTTTTGGGGCATGCGAAGAGATGTTTCGAGTCGTGGGGTTATTCTTTGCATGCCGGGAACTGGTTGGGCACATCTGCACCTAATCTGCTCAGGTAAAAGTTTAGCCTGCTGCGATAGCCAGAGCGAAGTTTGGCTATAGTGGTGCGAGTTTGGCCTGTCGGTATGGTGTCCTGTCCAAAGGTTGCTTTATGAACCTCTAGATTTTGTCAGTCAGTTCGTGAAGATGAGTTCTGATGTGCTTTGACGAGGGCTCCGGTGCAAGCAGCTGTCTGTTCGGGTGCCCACATCTGTGACACTCCACTGAAAATTGCATTCAGGGCATTTTGTTATGCTCCCTGACCTGCAGCTTCGTCCACTACGTCCTACTAGTATCCGGCGACCACACGAGCGCTGCATAGTTTAGAATCGGCTGTCCAAATGCATGTCTTGTATGTCGGCATACCCTTTTCATTTTCTTCATATTTTTGTTTAACGCACCATTAAATTATATAACAATTTGCCCCAATTACATATTTGGCTTATTTATGAAGGTTACTAACTAGTATGTATATATATACATATTATGTGATTCACATTTTCCTAATCCACCCCCTGATGTCAATTAATTGTAATTGTGTAGCGTTATCGACAGACTGAAATTTTCTTTTTTATGTACATCTATAAATACATACTTGTTTATACATATGTACGTATGTATACCTATTATATAGTACCCAGTGGGAATTAGGAGCACGTAATAATACCTTATTAGCAACT